TTTAGCTTTCTGTCCCTTGAAGATGTGTGGATCACAACATGCATCTTCTGTGACTGTGTTTGGAGGTGCATGCAGGGGATGTCCACTTGCTTTCAGCACTCAGGCCCCTCCGAGCAGTAGGAAGGGATTTCCTAGTCCTGTGTGGGTGGACTGTGTGTGGGGCCGCTGGGTTGGCCTGCAGTTGCTTATGAGTTCTGGGCATACCTGTCACCTCTAGGAGTTCTGGCTTCCTAATCACTCATGTCCCCAGACCTCATGGGTGGGGAAGACCTAGTCGGGGCTCTCAGGGCCGCAGTTCTCAGAGGAGAGGGACAAGGGAACTAGGGACAGGCCATCAGGACCTGGGGCAAGCTCTGCACTCTCTGAACCCAAGCAGGGAGGCTGTGCCAGGTGGGGAGGCCAGGCCATGCTGTGCCCAGTTGCTGGCCAGTCTGCTCTAGGCAGGGGGCTATAGCTCCAACCCTGAGGGTGGTCAGTGGCCTCAGTGACAGCCGTCTAAGCAGAACCTTTGTGTCTTGGATGAAGGCTGTGCTAACAGTAGCTGAACGGATGTCACTGGCTTTTACCCTCATCTAGGTTCAGGTGGACTTCCTTGTTCTGAAACTTGCCTGCTAGGTATTTCTAGCAGTTCCCCAGAGGCATGACCATGCCCTGGGAGCCAACGCCACACTTTTTGGGGCTCTTTTTTTTTTTTTTTTTTTGCAGTTTTTGGCCGGGGCCAGACTTAAACCCACCAGCCCTGGTATATGGGGCCAGCGCCCTACTCCTTGAGCCAGAGGCGCCTCCCTTTTCAGAGCTCTTCTCTGACCCCACCTGGTGGTTCCTTGTGTCTAGCTGGACATCTTCCCTTGGCTCTAAGGCCTTGTGTCCTGGTGGGCCCCCCAAGTCCCACCTCCTTGAGATGCACTAGTTCTCAAGCATCTCCTTTACCCATGAGAAGATCCCAGCTCAGGGGATTCCATGTGGGCCCTTAACTGCTCCTTTCACTGCTGTCTGGGCCTGCAAAACCCAGGCCAGCCCTACTAGCTGCTTCTACTGAGGCCCCATCTGCCCTTCTGTCTTGCCTCCACTGGTCAAGATGGGCAAGTCCTCAGAGCCCCAGGATCTTCCCTACCTGTGTTAGTCCACAACACCACTGAGTGGGGCTCTGCTGCCAGCTGCCTGTTCCCTGGTGGGGGGCAGCCATGTCTGTCCTTGTCTGGAGCCCTAGCCCACACTCCTGCAGCACAGTGGGGCCACCACTCTTATTCCATAGCCTCTAGGCATAAACACGAGGCCAGCAGCTCCCTAAACTTCTGCCCTTGTCCTGCAGGGTCTCTGGCTCCATCCTGTGGGCTGCCCAGCTGACATGTCCCTTGCTCCATGTGGGTGCTTGCTGTAGGCCCTATATGTGTGTAGCTTGGCGTCACCATGGCTTTCCAAAGTGAGCAGAGCCTTAGCTGAGTGTGGGCAGCTGGGAGGGCAGGGAGGAGACTTCAGGAGGTCTCAGGGGTGGGGAGTCACAGCCACAGCCTCATATTACTTCTGACATACCCTCCCACTACCATCAACTCCACACAGGGGCAGGAAGTGGCCTCTGACAGGGCAGGAATGGCTGTGTTCTCTGAGAGACTGGCCTTGACTCAGGTTCTGAACTGCCAGTCAATAGCTTATTGGCAGATTGGGTCAATGTATGTCAACACCAATGGCAATTAATGTGGGTGGACTTGGAGCGGGACAAGCACACAACTGCCCTTGTAAGGGCTGGCATGTCAGTCTCTCTACCAGGGGCCTCAAGGAGACACTATGAAATCTCAGGGAAGGCCCTGAAACTTGGGCCTGGTCTCTGGAAAGGCAGCTCTGGCCATGGCCTCAGCTTCAGGGGCCACCAACCATAGTATCCAGGGGGTGGAGGCGGTGCATGGCAAATGGGAAGATTGCCCCATGGACATATAAAATCCAGAGGCAGCTTAGAAAGTGATATGGCATCTGGCATCTGCAGAGGACAGGGGTGCTAGTTGGAGGGATGACCAGCCATGGGGAGGCTGGTCCCCACTGTTGGGGGCTGAGTCCCTAGTAAGCAGTGTCATTAGTGAGCTGAGTCCCTAATGAGCCATGGGCCTAGTGGACCCTATCCCTAGTGAGAAGTGTCCCTAAAGAGCCTTGTTGCTAGTGAGCCATGTCTCTAGTGAGTTGTGTCTCTTGTGAGATGTGTCCTTAGTGAGCCACGTCCCTAGTGAGTCCTGCAGCCCGTCTCTGGCAACCTGGGCAGCTGCTGACTCCACAAGGAATGGCAAATTTGTACCCCTCCACAGGACATACTGTAGCTCCCTGTGACTAGTGGGCTACCCAGCAAGTGGGGACACCTGGTAAAGAAAGGTGGGACATTTGCTAATAATGGGACCCCTGATGAGGTAAGGAATCCAGGTGAGGTGGCGACCCCTGTGACCATGTGAGATGGGGACTCTGTGAAGTGGGGATCCAGTGAGGTGGGGATACCTGGTGAGGTTGGGACACCGTGAGGTAGGGACACCTGGTGAGATGGGGCCCCTGTGAGGTGAGGACCCTATGAGGTGGGGACCCTGTGAAGTGGGGGTGCCTGGTGGAGTAAGGGACACCTCCTGAGTGTTGCTGGGGCAGTGAAGGCTCTTGAGTGGGGTGGTAAGAGGTCCACAGTGGACATCCCTGCAGATGTGGGAGGGGCCTATTTGCAGGGGCTGAGATACATCCTAAGCACCTTTTCAAGGTTCCTTTTCCATAGAAATAGTGGGGTTCTTCAGGGGTGGGAGAGGTAAGGCAGCTGTGCCCTGTGTGGAGCTGTGTGTGGTGGCTGTGCTTGGCTGATGGTGGGCCTCACAATGGTGATGACTCTTGGACAGTGACTCTGCTGTGCCATCGTCATCATCCCCAACAGAGCCAGCTAAGGCGATAGCCAACCACTGCCCCACCAACAAAGACAAGTCTTGGCACAGGTGATCACAGTGCCAGCCTTGAGAATGATTCAGCCACGCTCAGGAAAGTGCAGAGAAGCCGGCACTGAAGCCTGGGAAACTGACACTCTTGCATCAGGAAAGGCCTTGGTGCTGGCACAGAGGGTGAGCAGGACAGTGCCGATGGAGCTGAGGGTGAGGACCTGCAGATTGATTCTACCTCCTCACCAAATCTGGAGGCATGGACCACTTCAAGCCATTTTTGCACAATGGCTCATGATGAATAAACTCTGAGGCTGGGCTGAAAGATGGGGAGACACAGATTAACTATGGTCACCCTTCCCTGATAGCAGCCATCTCCACCTGCCCATACCAGGCACTGGGCACTGCCCAATAGGTCCAGGAAACTGGCCTTGCTCATTATGCTCTCCTGCAGTGAGGCTCAGAGAGGCATGGACATTGATCCAAGATCACACAGCTAGAAAATGGCACAGCTGGATTCAAATCCAGGTGGATTTGACCTCAAATTCATGCTTTCTACAGCCAGGGGATTCTGATTCTTACAGGGATGCTGGACTTCCATATATGCTTCTGAGACATAAGGCCTGAGAATATGTTTCGGACTGTCCACTAAAGACAAACACTGGATGGATGGTGGATCTGACCAGGGAGACAGTGCTCATAATTCTCAGACTCTTAGATGCTCAAGGTCAAGGGGGAGAGCAGCAGGTGAGCGCCTTAAACCTGAGGTCCTCATTCCAGGGTGGTGACTCCAGCCTCTGGTACACACTGCACTCACCAGGCTGCCTCCCTGACCAACCCAATCAGGATTTCTGGGCTGAGATACAGGTGTCAGGAATTGAGTGCTGGGAGAAGTCCCTGTGCTGGACAGAGGATTTCTGTGTCCACTGAGGGGTGGAGACAATGACATTTACTGACTGTGTGCAGGAGGGAAGAGGGCACTGTGGCTTTCCCTGAGGCCTCCTGCTATTTCAGCAGCACAGCCTGGTGGCTCTGCAGTTACTGAAACCACAGGTTTAAAGAAGTAGTAACCAAAACCTGGTGCTGGCTGTTAATCAGAAAGAAGAGTCTTAAGCAAAAAACTAAAAGATAATTTTTGTTAAGTAATGAACACTCATAAAACAGCAATGGAATGCTATTAAAATGCCTGTGATTACTTATTCCTCAGCGTTTGTCTGATAATTTAAGCAGCAGGAAGCGAGAGTTGCACTTTAAAAAATGACAAGAAAATAGCTATTCATTTAGTGGACAGAGTAAGGCCCATCTTGTTTCTGGGATCACTAGTGTCACTGCTTGTGACCAGGGTGCGCATCCACTGTGGCAGTTCTTTTGAAGCATCCTCATTTCTTTATACTGAGGGATGCCCACAGCGCCACTGCCTGGGGCTTCTGGAGCAGCTGGGGGCTTGTTCTTGAGGAGTCTTGCAGGAGGCTGGGCCTGCCACCCTGTCGTAGGTCAGCAAGGTCCCAGGACTATGTATTGCTGCGGGTGAGCGGCTGGGTGTGGGCATGTCCTGGGGGAGGCTGGCGCTGTAGGCTGGGCAGCGTGGGGCAGTGCAGGCAGGTCTAATGCCAGGCTGGTTCTCAGATGGGGCCCATCCACAGGCCAGAGCAGCTGGGGTCTGGCCACCAGTGGGCTGTCAACTCCTCCTCAGCCCTGTTTTCTTCTTGCAGGAAGGTGCATGGACCGGAAGGACTCAAGCAGGGCCATGACCAGAGGAGTGATGTGTCCCTTGCCCTCTGCTGATTGCACCATATTCCATAAAAATAAATGCTATTTTTGCTGTTTGTATATTGCTAATGTGGTGGCACTGGGGAGAGAGCTGTGTAACCTTCAACCCACCAGAATCCATCCAGAGATGGCCTTGAGGGTCAAGATCTTTGGAGCTTCCCTTTGGAAGGCCTAGCAGTGCCCATCTGTCTGGAGCTCTACACAGTGCTGTAAAAATGAAATTAAAAGATAAAAACAAAAGAGACCGGCAGAAGATCTCAGGACTTCCTGGCATTGCTCAGCAATTGTCTATAGATTGAGCATCATGCAGTGTCCACCCAGCCAGCCCCACGACCTCTGCCCCGCAGATCTGGCTGTGCCTCTGTCCTATGCCTGCAGGAAGCTCACAGGTGGTTGTTCTTGGAGAGGTAGGCGATGAGGGCCACGGCCACGCCCACATAGACGCCAGTCCCGATGGTGATGGACAGCACGGCCAGGAACAGGGCCCTCCGGGAGCTGGTGCTGGCCTGGTGCAAGTCCCCCTTGGCCACGGCTTTGTTAGTCTGCAGAGTTGGAGAAGAGAAAGGGAGCTAGGGTGAATAAGTGGGAAGGAGCAGTGTGTGGAGGGATTGTTTGTTCAGAGAGAGGACTTGCCAGGGCTAAAGGCAAAGCTACACGTGTCCCCAGCTGCTGCTGTGGACGTGATGGCAAGGAAGAAGTGTGGGCAGGGCCCTGGCTGCTTTCCCACGTGGCAAGGCTGAGAGTCGCCACCTGAGTCCCACCAGGGTGGGGGCTGGGCTACCCAGCATCCGTATTTGAGGGATAGGCTAAATATCTCCTGCACTGCTCTTTCTGCCCCCAAACAAAGTTTCATTTATTAGAACACCTAACTTTCTAAAGCATGTCCACTTACCTTATTTCATCTCCACTGCCTGGCAGGTGTGTGGGGGAGGAAATGACAACTCTTTTTTCCCAGAGAGAACACTGTGGGCTAGGATCTCTGGAAAGCCTACCAAGCACAGAGATGCCATCCCGAGCTGGGTGGACCTCCCCTGACTGGGGCCTCATTAAGTTCCTGACCATGACTCCCGTCTGCCCCTTTCATCACCAGTGAAATCTTCCACCTAATATAATACCCATATTCTTAGCACTCAATTACATAACGAGCTCTTGGTTTGAAAAGACTCAGATTCTCAGGGTCATGAGTGGGTAGAAATGAGGAGGTCTGGACTCTGTTCCTGATTTGTTTTTCTGTAGTAAACCCCACATCCCACTCCCAACCCTTAGGTCACTGCCCCTTTCCATAGTGACAGCAGAAATGCCACACTTGTGTCTCCTACTTCCCTATGGTCCACAGGGACCTCAGTGGGTCTCTCCTGGGGGATTTGGAGGTATTTCATTCTCCTGGCAAGATATGAGACCCATCCGGTGGCTTAGCCCTCCTCTCCTTCTTGCCTCAGGATGTGGAAATGACACCCCCAACTACAGTGGTTATCCAGGGCTCAGGAGGAAAGCTGAGAAGGGCATAGAGTGTGGTGTTGACTGTGGAAACCCTGCACCAGTATCCATGCTCTGATGCCATTCATCAGTAACCAGCATGGGGGAAGGAGGGCCCTGAATGGGACGGCTCATCCAGCAGATGGGACGGGGTGCTGCCAAGGCTGAGATCCTGGGGAGCTTTGTGGAGTGCTGGGCAGGGCAGACCCAAGCCAGGGGAAGGCCATTCCATGTCAGGCTGAAGGCAAGGCCCGCACTTCAGGTAGAAGGTTCTCACTCACTGTCATGGGCCATCTCCAGAAAACTAGGTCTTCACTGGGCCCATATGTCACCAGGGATGCTTCTACATATACAGAAAAGCATGGGAATAGGCATGTTGTTCCCTGAATCTGGAAAACACTATCACCTTTGCAAGGGACCACAAAGTGTAGAACTCAGAGATAACAGGGCAGTGAGTGTCATCTCCCACCCTGCCTTTGTGCTTCGCCTCCGCCTGGTTCCCCCAACTTCTGAAGGATAGATTTTATTTATCACCTCTATCAACTTTCTGCCTTGGAACTGAGCTTGGGAGCTCACCATGAGCGATTTTTGAGGAAGCAGAGCTAAGGGAACACAGAATGGAAGCCTCCCAGGACAACAGTAATTAATTAATTATGCCATAATTAGCTGAGTTTTGCTTAGTCTAGCAGCGCTCCCGAACACTCCAAAACCCGGTGACATAATTTGCTGTAATTGCCCATCCTTAGTGGGCAACTCCAAATGCCAGCACTCATTAGAATCAGGGCCCTGCAGCCTTCCCTATCCTGATCACCAGCCTTAGGGCGATTCACTGTGCAGGGGGAGCAGGGAGGATGGTGGAGCAGGGTCCCTGCAGCACTGGCTGACCTCCGAGGGTCATAGAACCACTAGAGACTTCCAGGAGACTATTCGGTGTGCAGAAGCCAACCATAAATTTATTGACCAAAAAGAAAAGAAAACCATCCCATAAGCCATGGCAGCATTCTCCAGGGCCTTTATAAAACACCAGTTTCTTTCAACTTCTGTTTGGGCTTCTCACAAATTCATTCCAGAAGAAAAGATGTTATGTAAGGCCCTGTATCCAGAAGCCTGAGTGGCTCTTTTGCAAAGTCACACCTGTTCACAGTTCTCTTCCCCTAAATACAAAGGGAAGTGAAGCTTCCTGCAGGATTTCCCTGCTCACCCAAAAGTGCCACATCATGGTCTTCTTACCTGGATGCACACACAGAACCAGAGAAGGAGACACTGGTGTGGCTCTGGAACAGTTCTGATAAAATCTCCTGAAGATGACACAGCCTGATTTCCTGAGATCTGCATGTTTTCAAGAGCGTTATAATGAAATTAGGTACTAAAACCAAACAGCCGGGGATTCCATGTGACTAGAAAGATTTTAAATGAACTGATTTCCAAGCTGCTCACTGCCCTCCCCTCCTAGCCCTGGCCTAAAGCCCCACTCCAATGGTAACAAACTTGGGAAATGAAGAACTCTTCTGGTCTAGTCCGAGAGCCCTCTCTGTAGACAGGAGCAGGGGATGAGAGTGCAGGCACATGCTCAGCTGGTCAGCACTGACCCTGTGCCCACAATATTCAAGTTAGTGTAACTCTGAGTAATCTCTTTTCAAAATATTGGGTCCTTAGCTTCAAAAATCATTGATCCTGCAAATCTACTAATAAAAAAAAAATTGATCCAGGCAATGAAGGTGGAGCCTAGAAACAGCCAAAGCAGCTCATTTTATTACAACTCTCTGAAAGGTCATTGGAAATAAGGCTGGCTTCATTTTTTTTTTTTTTTTTTTAATTCAAGAGCGGTGCAATAGGCAAGAAGTAAGGCCTTTTTGTGTGGTTTGTGCGATGTGTTTTGTTTCTAGTTCAGACTCCTTAATATCCAGACACCTGAGCAGATCTAAGGTGTTACATGCAGAAGTTATGTTCCTGAGCCCCTTCCCAATATATTCCTGATAAACAAGCCAGGTTCCTCCTCGCCTAGAATGTACAAGTCTTGCCCTTCTGCGATAATAGAAGTTTTGATAAATTTGTTCAAGATCAAGAAACACTGAATCTGAGGCTGACAGTCCTGGGACGTGTGGCTGTTGGTGCTGTTTACTGGACTGGATGCTGAGGCCAGCGTGTCTGCTGGTACGTGGGCTGAGGCTGACTCAGCCCTCCTGTGCTCCTGGCTGCGCTCTTCAGCTGCTGACCACCCACACTCACCTCTCTATTATTCCACCAGGGCTGTAGGCCACTGTGGGCTGTGGTCTCCAGCCTCACCTGGGCCTGCAGGTGCTGGGAAGTTCTAGGACCCTGTTTTCCAGTTTCCCCAGATTTCCTTTGAAGCCACCTAAGCTGCAACCTCATTGATTTCTGTGATTTCTGTAGTCTCAAAGCTGAGGCTCCTCAGGTGGGACGTTAAAGACAGTTTGATTTCTCATCATTGTACTAGACAACCGGGACCTGAGACCTCAGTTAGATAGTCACCCCATTCCACATCAGCAGCTGAGCCCAATAATCTCCCAGACCCGAGTCACTGCTTGATCTTGCTGTCCTCTGATCTTTACAGCATTTCTCCTTCACTCTTGCAGTTTTGCCTTAATTTCTGTTTGTCTGGTATTAATATCACCACTGATTGCTTCAGAGCCACCTGCCTTCCAGTTGGAAAATTCCAGAGGCTCTCACAGAAGAGCAATGCCAGAGGTGGGGTTCTCAGCATGGACAGCCCAGGATGACCAGGTGACCAGTGCACAAAGGGATGATTCATCCTGAAGGAAGAGGCACAAGGCTCCTAGGACACACAACCTCGGAACCAGAGGTGTGATATTGCTGTGGACACACAAGGAGCTGAGGACTAGAGTCTGCCGACCATACTGACCTGCCCGGTAACCACTCTGGCTGTTCAGTTTGGGGCAGTGAGGAACAAAGATGCTATGAACAATCTTGTATAGCTCTTTCTGTGAACACACAGGTCGGTTTCTCTTGGACGAGTATCTAGGTGGTAGAGGGAGATGTATGCATACATTTATAAGAAAACATCGGACTGTTTTCCAGTGTGACTGCAGCAATTCACACTCCCACCAGCCGTGAGCAGGAGTCCCAGGCGCCTAGGTCTTGGCCGAGACTTGGCAGTGTCACCATGTTTACTGTAAACCGCCCCAGTGGCTATGCTTTTCATGGGACCTTGTTTGCACTCACTGATGATATGTGACTGGGCACCATCTCTGTGTTTCTTGATCTTCATACATCTTGCTGTGTGACTTAACTACTCAGGTCTTTGTCTTTTTATGCCCGAGCTGCTGGCATTCTTTAAATAGCTGTCATCCCAGCGGCTTCTCCCGCAGAGGAAGCACATTGACCGTGACTCACAGGCTGGGCCTGCGTGTGCATGGCTCCAAGGTACAGAAGGTCCTGAAAGTCAGCACAATGTCTGCAAGGAGGGGGAAGGACATGGCCATTTTGCCTGTGTCTCCAAGCAGTCAGTGTCTACATTTTTTTTTTTTATTTTGCAGTTTTTGGCCAGCGCTGGGTTTGAACCCACCACCTCCAGTATATGGAGCGGGTGCCCTACTCCTTTTAGCCTCAGCCGCTGCCCTCAGTGTTTACCTCGTCAGCTGCCACTATGTCTGCTTCCAGAAGCTGCCTTTTAGGAGGCTCACATTTGCCCAACCCTCCCTGGAAATGGTGGTGAGAAATGGTTTTGCAAAGCTTGCATCCCACACATCTCTCCTCACCGGCAGCACGCCCTAGCTAGCTTTGCAAATCACTTTCTGTTTGGAAGCCTCAGTGGTGTCTGCGTATGTGGAAAGGCCCTGATGGTGACAGCGGGGCACAGGCAGTGGTGAGCTTCCTTTCTCCAGAGTATTCATGTGACAGTGACCCAACAGGGCCCAGGAGAATGGCAGCACCTCCTCTATGGGCCCCCTATGTCCTCCTTCCCTCCTTCCTTTCCTCTTCCCATGATTTCACTTTCTTCTTGGCATATTGTTATTTTAACAGTTGCACCCCTCTTTGAAAGGCTCTTTGAGTCAAAGGCATCACTATCAATTTTCTTGCCCGA